ACTGTCTGGGATTGTCCATGCTCCCCTAAATTCATTTAAATTCAGTTCAGTTTATTTATATAGCACCAAGTTACAACAGAAGTCATCTCAGGGCACTGAACAAAAACATTCACACACATAAAAAAATCAATTAGTAACATTATTTATCTGAGGTAGGGTAGCCAGCAGATTGCGTTGAGTCTTCATTTCATCGTAGTCTCCCATCCTGAGCAAGCACAAAGGCAACAGTGGAAAGTAAAAGCTCCCTCATGAGGAAGAAACCTCCAGCAGAACCAGGCTCAGGACAAGCTGCCATCTGCTTCGACCGGCTGGGTTTGAGAGGACAGGAAGGAGGAACAGATACACAATGGCAGGTCCAGAATGGAGGCGAGCAGAAGATCAGATCCTTCACTGGAAGGAAAGACAAAAAAAACCCCATTAAGATAGAAATAATTACAAATACAAACTATTCATTTGTATTCGTTTGATGAAATGAGGTCAATTTATCCTCCAGTAGTCTAAATTATATCAATATATAGGAATCAGACATATACCTTTTAACGTTATTTCAAAAGTAAAATTACAAACATCCATGTTTCTGTAAGTTTGGTAAATTCCTGTTTTCATGTTCTTTTATTGACGCTTCCTTAAAACTCATCCAGTTCGGAGAACGACTTGTTTTAATTGAAATTAAGATGAAGAGCGTTGTCTGCTTTTCTGCAGCTGACAGGAGGTGATGTTTGTATTTTACAGTGGTAGATGGTGTGTTTAGATGTTAATGATCCTGGAAATGAAAAATTGAAACAGAATACTTTGTGTGCTGAGTACCATCAACTCTGACATGTTAGTGAAGAGAGAAAACTTTGTAGCCAGCTCTTCACACAAAATTCACACAAAACTTTGCAAAGACCAGTAGAATTAGAAGTTAAGACTGATTTCAACCAAGTGGAAAATTTCTCTGCTCTGTTTCTTTCTCAGAAATCTCAGCCTGGTGGAAGAGACTTTGGTCATACCTTCGAACAGATTCTCATCTAAACTCACTTTTAGAAATATGGAATTTAGTCTCGTGTCAACTGTGTCAGTGGAAGCCAGAGGGAAGCGCTGAGTCCTGAATAATCTGTTCAGAGACAGACTTCTGTTCGTTGCAAATCTCCAGAGTGCATGTTAATCAAAGTTGGCCAACACCCTCTACCGACCCAGAGCCAGAAATAATGACTGATGGAAATCTCCATACTCAAGTGAAAGACCATCTATGAGCAGAAGTAGTTCAAAAAGAACATTAGTTTACATGTACTGCCATCATTTTACACAACTGTGCTGCTGCTACCAACAGATCAGTGAAAATCCAAGCCCTTGTGGCCTTTAAACAAGAGCTCAACTGATATGGAAAATTTGGCTATCGCTGATACCTATATTGGGAAGGGAAGGTGGCCGCCGATAACCAATGTAATGAATGAAATTTTTAAAATCTTTTTCCACCCCCAAGAATCTAAATAAACAGATAGTATAGTGGGGCTTGTTTATTTAGTGCAGCTGTTAGCAACCATGAAGCTAAGCAAATCAGATCCACGCTATACCTAGTCCCACACTAGGTTTACAAGTGGTGCACTGGTCATAAAAACAATCTTCCTAATGTGCATTCACATTTTCTATCCTTTACTATTCACCATAAAGTTGTGTGTTACAAAAATATAAAAAACCCCCAAAGAATCACCCTTCCCTGTTCAATGTTTACACAGTCAGACACGCATGGTGACGGCCCAATTAGTACTGACCACAGCAGTGTTAAGTGAAGATTTCAGACAAACAATGCATTTCATTGAGGACGACAAAGATAACGTTACTAGCACTGGATGTTCTCACAAACTGGAAGCTCAATCAGACAGGACTGGTTGCTATAACTACTGACAACGGGGCTACTGTCGTGAAGCTGTTGCAACTGAACACTAACGTTAGCTTGAGATGCACGTAGCTAATGACAAACGGGTTGGAGGATTGAAAGAAATTTATTATTGTTGATTTTTTTATTATTTTACAGATCAGTTAAGATAAACTTACCATGCTCTGTTCAGCAAAATCCTCTACATATTTGCTCCCTGCTTCAGCTGTGATGAATGTCAAAAGTGAAACTTAAGGCCATGAATTGAAAGTAGTCTTCATGCGCCCTCTGCTGGATACACTGTGCAATTACAACTGCTCCCAGCATTTTAGGGGTGAAAATTAGAAATGTTTATATTTGCGCATTAACGGAATAATTTTCACAGATACTGATATGTCCTCAAAGGCTTTTATCATCCTAAAATATTGGCCCTACTGATATATCGGTCGGGCAGTACTTAAAAATGATACATTAGATATTAGAAGTGGATCTCTCTGGAAATGTCATGAGCGACTAATATCGTGCCTGTTGTAAATATGTCTTTGATCCATGTCAGCTTTGAGAAATAAAGTTCAATTCTGATTGGTCCCACAAACTAATTACTAGTCCAATTGATGCAAATCCAAAGTAGATTTGTGCTTTTATTTTACTCCAATGTGAAATATTTTAGGTGTTTAATGCATTTACATAATTTTCGCGTACATATTATATAGTTATTCTGACGGAATATTTCTGTTGGACGTGTCCCAGGCTGCACCAGAAGTAGTAAAGCTAGGTGCTGTTGTTGCTATTTGTGTTTGTAACAACCATAAAATCCTATATAAATAACTGTGTGGTATGACATTAGTTTATTAAAGGGCATGAACCACTATGAAATAGTTTAGAATAGAATTGAGATTAGAAATTGCAGCAATCCACTTTAGTCTGCTCGTTCTATGTGCTAGCTTGTCGAGCCAGTCTGAATTAGGCTCAGTTTCTCTCAGTTAGATTTTTCAAAGAGTTAATAAAGGCATGTAAGAGTAAGAGATTATTTCTTCTAAATCTTTCCAGAGAACCCCTCTACAAAACATCTGAAGTACTACTTTTAAGGTGGTAGTGGTGTCTTACTTTTTTCTCTACCAGGAAGAAGTGTGTATTTGTGGAAACAGTCTCTAGGGTCGCTGCAAGTTCCCATATCCAGTTATAAAACATGAATAAACATTGGGAAGTTTAAAGTCCACTCAGTTTTGGTCCAAGTGAGGATCCATGTTTATTTTATTCATTTATTCTTTGGTCATATTCTTGTCATAAGTTCCTAACTTGTACACTAAGCCTTAAAAACTAAAAGCAACTATTATTTTTTTTTTTTCTTTTTTGGTTCCTCTTGCTTCAGCTTCAGCGTTTTGACAGTAAAATCGCTCTGGCGGCACCTCTAAGCAGATGCTATATGTGATTCTTAATTGGGCAAAGCAAATGATTGCGTGTGCAACTCATATAAAACTGAGTCTACATGTAGAATTACAAGAATAAACCGAGATAGTGGATTCTGCTGAGCTACTCTTGCACTCATCTGGGGGCAATTATGTTCCACCTTACATGTGCCGCTCAGACGCTTCATGCCAGCTTCATCCTCGTGGAACAGCTGTACAAATTTCCTGTAATGAGTTCCTGTGCAGTCGTGCCGTATAGATGGACAGCGGCATACCATCATAGCACAGCTAGACTATTTGTCTTGGCCTCATGGTGATGTTTTTACTTTGAACAAACTTTTGGTTTATTTTCCCTAAACACAACCCGGATATCCCAAGAAATCCATATCCAACACAAATGTTGACATTTGTTGTTTCTCATTTCTCTTACTCATTTTCTCCTAACCTGCACTTATATGAATGCGAACGAAGGCAGCTCAGTTAACAGTGTTTATTTTCTTGTCGTAATTTCCTTTAAAGCTTTGTTGCATTACAGATTAATGCAGAACTTCACATTATCCTCAGTATCATTTTTTTACATCCCATTTGCACACGTTTAAAACTGAACAATAGATTTGTTTTCCCATTCTAGAGCATTATGTGGATTAACAAACTCCACATCTAAGATTTGTAGTGTTATAGCCTTTTTTTTCTTTGCATTAGAAATGTGATAATGGTAATACAGATAAATAAATAAATTAAAAAGAATGATTGGAAGCTTATAGTCTGAGATAAAGAAAAGGACAGGAATAAAACAAATCTTATTGGCTGCAAACAAAAATGAATTGGTTGCTTCTTCTCGATGCTAAAGTACTTATTCAGTGAAGCAGCTTCCTTTGTGCCTCAATGCAATCTGTGATTACTTCATTTTTTACTATTATAGTATTCTTCTAAACTTTAAAAGCATTTCCCAGCTCATTTTAATATATCTTGTTGGGTTTTTTTTGTATTTGAATGAACTGTAACGGTGTAACAAAAGTTTGTTTAATTAAGGTTTAGTAATTATAAGAACTTAAATTATATCTCATGTGTTAATTAGAGAAGCAAAGTTAAAAAAAAAAAACATTTTGTGCTCTCATATTTGACATGTTCTTTTTCTCCCAAACAAATGTGTGTTCTCCCTCAAGCAATCTGCATTTGAGCAGAAAAAAAAAGCAATACTATATAAAATGAACACTTGAATGAATCACTGCAAGGAGTTGTCTGTAAATATTACTGATTTCCACTTCTCATGAGCTGATTGCAAAATGTAAATTGTAGCTTGAAACACATACATTATGATGTAAGCACTGGGCCTGATAATTGCAATTATTTCCCTCAATAATACGCCACATTGTTTGGGGCAGCACACAGAACTCCCATACTAAATCTCCATACACTATAAAATCACTCAAGGGTGTTTATTGTGTCTAAATAATGAATAGACACAGCCTTTCCAAGTTGACAGTGAAAAATTTCTGGTGGACTCCCCTGACAGAATGCATTACACAGTAAAATAATTTAGCCGACCACAAAATAAAACGTATGCATCACTCTGTTCTTAAATTAATTTTCTAATTCAGTTGGGGATGGTTATTTTACAGTCAGCGTTTTACTGCAGAGAGACTGATAGACTGATAAAGAGCTAAGACGAGCGAGTCAATAAGTTATGAGGCCTGCGCTTAATATTCTTCTCTGTCTTGCTCTTGTTCTAGATGAACACGGACATTTGAAAATATACCTGCCCAAGAAGCTGCTTGAATGTCTACCAAAATGCACGTCGCTGCCAAAGGAGAGACACCGGTGGAACACTAATGAGGTAGGGACGTCGCTCCTTATCAGTCCTGCTCACTCTGAGTCCATTTCTGTGCGGAGATATCCTTCCATCCAGCAGACGAGCCGCTCTCAGAGGCCATTTTTAAACACATTTGTAAGTCATTGGGACTGTCCTCGGAACGATGCAACAGCAGTCTGTGTGATTCACCAGTTCAACTAAATATTCTAAGAAACAAGACGCTTCCCACTCGCATCAGCTACACGTGTTAATATTCCATATGATAACAGAAAAGTTGACATTTTTAACGTGTTTGAATTTCCGTATTTTTTGGACTATAAGGCGCAATATCAATGAACGGGTCTGTTTTCATACATAGGGTGCATTAAGCGAAACAAAACAGTCAGATAAGTCAAAATGTATTCAGCTCATTCACAATAACCACATACAATCAGTTCGAGGTCAGTAAGCACAACCAGAATTAATACATAAGGCGCACCTGATTATAAGGCTCACTGTCGATTCTTGAGAGAATTAAAGAGTTTTAAGTGCGCCTTATAGTACAAAAAATACGGTAGCATCACTTTCTCTCATTACAACCATTTCAGCTTTCACCAGTTTCAAGTCTTTGATCAGTTTCAGTTTTTTTTCACTAAAGTTTAGTTTTTCTCAACACACTTCATGCTAATGGATGCGCATCATATTATTAACCAATTTAAACAAAAAAGTAAATAAACAAACGCTGTACTTTGAATCAGAATTTCGTCACATCTTTGAGGAACTCATCCATATCTGTGAATGGCAAGTGACTCCAAAGTGCTGCCTCTTTAAAATTAGAATTAACATTTTTTCTAGACCAGTGAAAACTAACTCCAGTAAGTCTTTATGAGATACGACAAATTGCTTTGTTTTGCACCTAAACTCAAAAAATAACCAATATATTACTAATCTATTCTTTAACAACTCGTACATGTACAAAATAGTATATGTTGTACAGTAGTCCCTCGATTATTGTGGGGGGTTCGGTTCCAAACCCCCCACAATAAGTGAAAATCCGCGAAGAAGCAACGTTATATTTATTTTAGTATTTATATATATATTAAGGCTTTATAAACCCTTCCCACACTCTTGCATTGTTCTAAATTCTTAAACCTATGTCATTTTAACAACATACGTACAGTACTGTATATGTAGCTACTAAATTTTACTCACCAGCCCTGCAGAACAGGAGCGGCTCTCGTTCTGGTCCGACTCGTTCTGGTTTGACTCTGTTCTGTTTCTGCAGATGTACCCTGCAGCAACAAAGCCCACAATCAATTTTCTAAACTCTTAAACCTACTAATTTGAACAACATACTTATATTTACAGTAGCTTCTAAATTTTACGTACCAGCCTTGCTCAGATGTCCTCGTCAGCCGGTTGAAAGAGATGAAAAGCGTGGCTGTGGGCTCTGGATGGACTGCCAGACCTTTGGCATGCGTCCCCGCTTGGAGGTCCACGTGGGCGGGCTACCAGCTCTCAAGATTCACCGATGGGTCTGGAGGTCTGGTTCTGCTCCGGTTCTGCTCCAGTTCAGTGGGTTCCATGCAGCATCTCTGCATCCGCTTGGTGACAAAGTCACTGTAATAAGTGGCTTCACGTCCCCGCTTGGAAGTCTTCGTGGGCCGGCTAGGGTCTCTCGGGTTCAACGCTGAGTCTGGGGGTCCAGTTCTGATCCACTTCAGTGCAGCCCCGAGTGCTGAAGAGCATTTTGAGGGAGGCCAGACCTTTAGTTGGCCAGTGTAGACCGGCGGAGGTTGATTGAGTCCAAGTCTAGATGAAAAAAGTCAGGGTTAAAGCTCCGGACCTACAGCGGCACGTGTCCCTGTGTATTTCAGCAGAAGGAAATGGAGCTTCTGGACAGGGCCCTGTTGGCTTCTGGGAAATGTAGTTGTTATGAACAGGAATACAGTGTAGCCCAGGGCCATTCAACAAAACTGCTCAGGAGGGCCACAGAAAACCAGCAGCTCAGGGACCGGACATCCAGCGATCACGTCATTCTGTAAATAAACCAAGTATTACAATGATCTGTTGCCTTTTAAATGTGTTTATTTTATTGTATTGAATCATAAATGCAATAAACAGAACCCAAAACCCAGACCCACCCCCCAAATGTATTTATTTTTTATGAAGTAGGCCGAATTGAAGTCACACGCAGGCCAGAAATGGCCCACGGGCCACCAGTTGAATAGCCCTGCTGTAGCCTTATTGAGAGAAAACTACAAAATGGCAGCGCCTGTCTGAAATATTTTATTTTTTTGTTAACTTTTTACTGTACAGTGCTGTATCCAGTACTGTCCCAATCACATGAGTATTATTAAAGCTGACAATCACGTGTCCTGTACAAATCGTATTTTTTTGTACACTATTACGGACTGTACGCCCACAAACCACGATAGAGCGAGTCCGCAGAAGTCGAACGGCGAAGTAGCGAGGGACTACTGTATAGTAATTTAGTAGCAAACGCAGCAGGAACACTCCAACTCGTGTATTTTTAGGTATCAGTGAGCTAATTTGTTCACATATTTTGTAAAGTTTTTACAAAGTACGCAAACAGCAAGTTTTAAAAACTATCTTGGGACGCAAAATCAAATCTGTCTAAGAGAGGATCAATAAATGTAAATGTCAACAATCTCAGTGATGAATTATTCACATTTGCGCTCGGACCGTTTTAAAGCCTAGAAGGAAGTAGACACGAGTCTTAAACATGTTGTACAGTAATTCCCAAACAGGGACTCGTGTTGCTTCATTTGCCTCAGAACTCATTTGTCAGCCTGCTCCCTTTCTCGGGGGATAGGTTGATGAATTTATTGCTTTCATTTCCACTATTGATGGATGAAAAACTGGTTCTTCATCTCGGAGAAAAAAAAATGGTGGTAATTAGGCTTAAATACTCTCCATGACAAATCTTAAAGCCACTGTGAGAAAATAAAAAAGAATCAAACCAACCATCTGTGCTTTGGGATTAACAAATTGTGACCATATAAATATAGTCATCTACGGTGATGAAAGTTAATTGACTGCAAAACAACCAGATGATAAGGCACCAGATAGGCTTGTTTTTTATGAAACAGGATATTCAAAAAGATGATCTGTCAGCGGCAGAGAGTAAATAATTATTTTACATCGATTCTCTGTACTCCCTGTATTTTAGAAAATAATTAAAAGGATGAACTTATCTGTAGTAAAGACAGGTAGACAAATGTATAGCTCTGACTCGCGGGGAAGAAAAAAAACGCCTCGTTCCTTACGATTTACATCACTTTCAGCCTGCGTTCACTATAAGTTCCCATCTGTCATATCTTCGCTCACACCAGCCCTGCCCTAGTTATGAAGAAAATGTAAAACGCTCGTGTATTTTTAATTGGCTGATGTTGTAACTTGTTTGCCCTGTTTGACCTGCATTGTGCTGCCAGCAGTCTAAATTAATTAACATGGCTTTGAAATTGATCTCAGAATGGAAGTCGAAGCATTTGCCGGGTAATGCTGTCGGCCACAGTTGTTAGTGCGTCTCGTTGTCTGTTACCAATTGAAATCATATTTGTGCAAAGGTGCGGGCTGTGCTGCTCGGCTAAAGATTGCTTCGTGGCTGTTTGGTCAGGTTGGCGTTGCAGCGTGCATGCCAATAATGTTTGCCAGGGCTGAGGGGAGCGAAGTAACCTTTCTTAAAATCAAGGACGTTTCCTCTCGTTTTCTTTCTTCTTCTTTTTTTTTTTTTTTTTTGTGCAGACCGTGCAAATGTGAGTGTTTGTGCCCGAGTGGAGGCAGACAGGCAGGAGGGGAGGGATCAGAGGGGCTCTTGTCGGTGCGATTGTGTGACTCTTACTGAAAGTGACACCTCATCAATTCTCTGCATATTTCTGGCACTAGCTCAGCATGCTTAATGCACTAATATCCCTCCTTTTATAGCTGAGGAATCTGAGCAGCCTGCTAGGTTGGCTGCTGATGTTCATCCGAGCAATATCATAATTATTATTTTTCTTCCATGGGGCTGTTTTTGTTTGAGAACTCTATCCACGGATATCGTGGCTTTATAGTCTTTCGCAGATATGTTAGAAGCCCGCGGGTTAAATAACAGTGTGAAATATTTAGAGCCGCTATAATTTATCAATTAATCCATGGGGAGAGATTAAGTGGGAGCAATTTTGGTGATTGATTAATTGTGCAACTCATTTTTCAAGCTAAAAGGGAATTCCCTCGCTGCATATTTGAGACTATTGGAAGTGAAAAAGTGAGCGTTTCTTGCGTAGTGAAATGCACTGATACTTGATCAGTGAGCACGCTGAACAATTTTTATTGTCGCCTGCTTAATATTGATACAGTGTGTATTATTTATGTACATTTACACCTCCAGTGAAGAGCGGATAAAGAATTCCTGACCTAAGGGGAAAAAACGACTCAAAAGTTGCACTTTTCTGTGAAGGAATATTCATAAAATATTGATTGTTCCTCCTTCCTGCCTTCCCCCCCTTCGCTGCAGCTGTACATCATTTGCTTCATGTTAAAATCCCGTCAAATTTGGTTTTCTTTGAAGACTTACACGCTGCTGTTTGAAGGAGACCGCGGTGTTGATGTTTCACTGAAGCTGGGCTAAAACAGAGCTTTTCATTTCTGATCCGTCTCATGACTCCCCTGTGCAGTCTGATGAGAGGAAGGTGTCCAGGAATACATTTGAAGCATTTACTGGAAAATTAAATAAACCAATCGAATCAAAAACTCTGGGACGAGGATCGAGGTCTAAAAGGCTGAATGGTGCTCTCGTCAGTGAGTCATCAGAAGCATGCAAGATACGGATCAGCTGTAAGCCTTCGAATTAGCACTGGGACATGGTTACCTGGCAGTGCTTGAAAACAAATAAGTCCCTTTTGAAAGAAATGCAAAAGAAGGGCCTGTTTCAAAGATTTTCTCATCGTGTTACAATATTCGGTGACATTTCTATGACTTCTCCTCTGTCACAATGTGCTGACGTGATAGCACGCCACACATGGGAGTCTTTATTTTCCTTT